CATTGATGGACATTGGAGTTGTTTCTATCCTTTGTCTATTATAAATAGTGCTGTTTGTAAACATTTGTGTGTATATATATATTTTGAGCACTTATTTTCAATTCTTTTGGATATATCCCTATGAGTGGAATTGCTGGGTTATATGGTAATTTTATGTTCAACTTTTTGAGGAACCACTGAACTGTTTTCCACAGTGGCTGCACCGTTTTACATTCCCACCAGCAATGCACAAGGTCCCAATTTCTCCACATCCTTGCCAATATTATTTTCTATTAAGAATTATATCCATATTAGTACATGTGAAGTGGTATCTCATTGTGATTTCCCTAATGACTAAAGTTGTTGAGCAGCTTTTCATGTGTGTGTTGGCCATGTGCATATCTCCTTTGGAGAAATTTCTATTCAAGTCCAGGGCCCGGTTTTTAATTGGAGTTTTTGTCTTTTGCTGTTGACTTGTAAGAATTCTTTCCATATGCTGGATAACAACTCTTATAAGATATATGATTTGCATATATTTTTCCACATTCTGTAGGTGGTCTTATTACTTCCTTTTTTCCCATTTTTTTATTGCTGTTCAAGTACAGTTGTCTCCATTTTCCCCTCACCACTCCCCCACCCCAGCCACCCCCACTTCCCACCATTGATCCTACCCTCCTTGGTTTTGTCCATGTGTCCTTTGTACATGTTCCTGAAAACCCTTCCCTTTTCCCCCATTATCCCCACTCCCCTCCCCTCTGGTTACTATCATTTCTTTCTTTCTTCTTTTTTAAATATTTTATTTATTTATTTTTAGAAAGAACAGAAGGGAGAGAAACATCAATGTGTGGTTGCTTCTCATGCGCCCCCTACTGGGGACCTGCCCCACAACCCAGGCATGTGACCTGACTGGGAATCAAACCAGTGACTCTTTGGTTCATAGGCCAGGGCTCAGTCCCCTGAGCCACACCAGCCAGGGCTGTCAGTTTGTTTTTAATTTCAATGTCTCTGGTTATATTTTGCTTGCTTGTTTGTTTTATTCATTAGGTTCCATTTATAGGTGAGATCATATGGTATTTGTCTTTCACCGCCTGGCTTATTTCACTTAGCATAATGCTCTCCAGTTCCATCCATGCTGTCACAAAAGGTAGGGTTCCTTCTTTCACAATGTGTAGTATTCCATTGTGTAAATGTACCACAGTTTTTTGATCCATTCATTTACTGAGGGGCACTTAGGTTGCTTTCAACACTTGGCTATTGGAAATTGTGCTGCTATGAACATTGGGGTGTGTAGGTCCTTTTGAATTGGTGTTTCAAGGTTCTTAGGGTACAATCCCAGCAGTGGAATTGCTGGGTCAAAAGGCAGTTCCATGTTTAGTTTTCTGAGGATATTCCATACCGTTTTCCACGGTGGCTGCACCAGTCTGCGTTCCCACCAACAGTGCACTAGGGGTCCCTTTTCTCCCCATCCTCTCCAACATTTGTTTGTTGATTTGTGTATGATGGCCATTCTCACTGGTGTGAAGTGGCATCTCATTGTGGTTTTTAATTTGCTTCTCTCTGATGGCTAGTGATGTTGAACATTTTTTCATATGTCTCTGGGCCCTCTGTATGTCTCCTTGGAGAAATGTCTGTTCAAGTCCTTTGCCCATTTTTTAATTGATTTGTTTGTCTTCCTGAAGTGGAGTCACGTGAGTTCTTTATAGATTTTGGAGATTAAACCTTTGTCTGAGGTATCATTGGCAAATATGTTTTCCCATATAGTTGGTTCTCTTTTCATTTTAATGCTTTTTTCTTTAGCCGTGCAGAAGCTTTTTATTTTGATGAGATCCCATTTGTTTATTCTTTCCTTTATGTCCCTTGCTCTATGGGACATATCAGTGAAAATATTGCTGTGTGGGTCTTATTATTTTCTTGATAGTGTCTTTTGATGTACAAATGTTTTAAATTTTGATGAAGTCCAATTCATCTATTTTTCTTTTTGTTGCTCATGTTTTTGGTGTCATAGATAAGAATCAGTTGTCAGATCCAAGGTTGTAAGAATTTATCCCTATGTTTTCTTTTAAGAGTTTCATCTCTTATATTTAGACCTTCAATTTATTTAAAGTTAAATTTGTATATGGTGTGAGGTCTGGATGTGCCCACCCAAAATTTCATATATTGAATCCTAACCCCTAAAGGTAATGGTATTAGGAGTTGGGGCATTTGGGAGATGCATAGGATCAGTGTTGTTCTGAAGGAGACCTGACAGAGTTAGCCCCTTCCTCCATATAAAGACACAGTGAGAATCACTGACAACCAGAAAGAGGGCCTTCACCAGAACACAGCTGTGCTGGCACCTTGATCTTGGGCTTCCCAGGCTCTGGGACTGTGAGAAATACATTTCTATTGTTTATAAATTATTTAGTACATGATATTTTGTTATAGCAACCTGAATGGATTAAGAGAGGGTCCAACTTCATTCTATTGCATGTGGATATCCAGTTTTCCCAGCATCACTTGTTGAAATGACTATTCTTTACACATTGAATGATATTGGCACCCTTGTAGAAAATCAATTGATCATAGATTTCATGGTTTATTTCTGACCTATCAATTATATTCTATTTATCTATATTTTTATCTTTATTGCAAGTACCACACTTTTGACTACTGTAGTTCTTTAGTAAGTTTTGAAATCAAGAAGTCTAAGCCCTTTACATTTATTGTTTTTCAAGACTGTTTTGGCTATCTGAGGCTCCTTGAAATTCCATATGAATTTTAGAGTCAGTTTTTAAAAAAATCTGTGAAAAAGGCCATTGGAATTTTCATGGGATTGCATTGAATTTGTAGATAGTTTTAGGAAGTATTGCCATCTTAACAATATTAAGTCTCCCAATTTATGAACACAAGATGCCTTTCCATTTAATTAAGTCTTCTTTATTTCAGCATGGTTTGTAGTTTTTAGTGCATGAATCTTTCACCTCCATGGTTAAAGTTATTCCTAAGTATTTTAATCTTTCTGATGCTATTGTAAATAGAATTTTGTTAATTTCCTTTTTGGTTGTTCATTGCTAGTATATAAAAACATGATTGAGTTTTTCCCTTGATATTGTACCCTGCAACCTCGATGAATTCATTGAATTCTAATGGTGTTGAAAAAAATTCTTTAGGATTTTCTTATGTGAAATCACGTCTACAGAGCAGAGATAGTTTTACTTCTTCCTTTCCAATTTGAATGTCTTTTATTCTTTCCCTGCCTAAGTGCTTTAGCCAGAATTTCCAGTAGTTTATTAAACGAAAGTGGCAAACGTGGGTATTCTTGTCTTGTGCCTGATCATAGCTGGAAATTTTCAGTTTTTCAACAGAGTATGATGTTAGCTGTGCTTTTAAAATAAATATCCTTTAGGATGTTGAAGAAGTTCCCTCTTATTTCTAGTTTCCTGAGTGTTTCATCATGAAAAGTGTGTTGGATTTTGTCAAAAGCTTTTCTTCATCAGCTAAGATGATCATGGTGTTTCCCCCCCACCCCCACCACCCTGCTGCTAGTATTCTTGGCCACTAGGTCCAATTATCTGTCTTTATATATATGCATTATTTATTTTTTGTGCTTATACCATGAAAATCTTTTCATTAAAGGTCATTAAAATGAAAATTTCCAGTGGCTATTTGTTATATCTTTATATGAATATTCTATATTTAATATTTCTATGTTGTCTCAAATTTTCAGTATTTTTCTGTATTTCTACTTCTTCAGGAACAAAGTCCCTAAAACTGGAATTACTGGGCCAAAGGCTATGAATACTTTTAAATAAAAATAAGTAATTCCAACTCATTTAAAAAAAATCAGTATGAGCTTCTACCAGCGCAATGTCTGTTTAATGAAATTTGCTGATGTGCCATGCACTTGCTGCTTCATTCCGGGACCTGTGAGTTTGCTGTCTATTCACCTCTGAAGTTCTTCATATTCGCTGCTACTAAGCAGATCACCTCTTTCCCTCCTTCTCAATATTTACTTTCCCTTTTGTTTCTTTTTAAAGATTTTATTTATTTATTTTTAGAGAGGGGAGGGAGGGAGAAAGAGAGAGAAACATCAATGTGCAGTTGCTGGGGGTCATGGCCTGCAATCCAGGCATGTGCCCTGACTGGGAATCGAACCTGTGACACTTTGGTTCGCAGTCCCGCGCTCAATCCACCGAGCTACGCCTGCCAAGGCTTTGTTTCTTGATTTGTCCACTTCCCATACATACTCTCATCTTCGTTATTTGTTCATTTCGTCTTCTGAATGAATGACTAAGCCAATAAAGTCAAGTGCAGAAAATATGAAAACTTACCAGTAAAAATATTAATAAAGCACACATGCACATTATTACTATCCATATTTTATTTAGCTTGGGAAGAAAAGGAATTTGCAATCTGGTCAGTTTTGGTTTCGTTTTTTCGGTCTTTTCTTTATCAATATCCATTTATGTGTTCCTGAGTGCAAGTTTTTGGGGATTGTCTGGGAATATAGGGACACTGAAAAATGACTGAACCCACATTAAACAAATGTAAAACATTTAGTTTTAGAGAGTATGAAAGAAAAGCAATTAATCTGTGTAAATGTTCGCATTTTACTAGATAAAAAAACTGAAGTAAAATTTTGCCCAGATATCAAGCATAGACCCCACCCCACTTAAATACACCCCTTATACACAGACATCGGCATCATGAGGTAAATTTGACTTAAAAATTGATATAATTCTAAAGACAAAGAAACAAAAAAGCCCACGATCAGAATAAATACAAGCAAGACACTCATTAGGAGACCTCACCAAGCAGCCCCTGGTTTGGCTTTCTGGGCGCCCAGGAGCCGCGGAAGGAAAACTACAGTTCCCAGAGTGCTTAGAGGGCGGCGCCTCGGGTTTCCAAACGCGCAGCTTGGGTCCCGCCCCCTCACTCCTGCCACTGGAGTTCCATGAGAAGTTCACAGAACTTCTCTTCTCCCATTGGTGGGCTCTCAGAGAGGTCACTCACTGAGTTCCCGTTGCCTTCGGTTCCTTCCAACCCACGGGCTCCCCGCCCGGTACCAAGATGGCGGCAGAAGCAGCTGGTGGGAAGTACAGAAGCACTGTCAGCAAAAGCAAAGACCCCTCGGGGCTGCTCATCTCTGTCATCAGGTGAGGGAGGCAGGAGGCAGGGTCAGGGGCCAGGGGCCAGCGGGCAGCGGCTGGACCTCCGCTTTGGCATGGAGAAGGGTGAGCCGGGTTCCACCCTGCTGACCCTTCCTTTCCCTCCTTGCCTCCTCTGAGCCCACCCCAGGGGGCCCCACAGACCCCTTTTCTCTGGGGTTGAGCTAGAGGGAGGAGCCCCGTCCCAGTCTTTTCTGTAGGGTGCTCGACCCTAAAAGCACGCTCACTGTTCTGGGCTTGGTAGAGAACGCCAGGTGTGGTCATTTATTCCTTCCACGTTGATCCGTCGATTGCCTTCTGCTGGGCTCGCCGAGGAAGGTGACCACCTGTGAATGGCCACAGCCTCACGTGCAAGAGGCTGTGGTGAGCTGGTGGAAGGGCTGTGGGTTTGAAGGCACACGTCCGTTTCCGATTGTTATTCTGCCTTCCTATCCCGGTCTGCTCCTAAAAACAGAAATTAAAAAGAAAGAAAGAGAAGAAACAAATTTCAAGTTACCCTCCATGCCTATTATTTTCCCAGAATATAAATGGTGGGAGTGGTGGGCCTTTTATGGTTTTGTTTTTTTTTTAAGTGAAATAAATTGAGGATGGAAGAACACTTTCAAATAACATTAAGATGAGAGAGAGAGTAACTAAAAACACTTGAGTGAAATATGACACGTTTTTACGTTGTTGACATTCCAATTTTAACTCTGGCATTTTCCATAAAATAAAACAGGAATGCCCGCCTTCTTCCCCCCCCCCCCGACCCCCCACCCCGTGCCAAACTTTTGGTTGAGTTCTTGAAGGGCTCTTGGAGAGTCCTGATCTTTTTAAAACCCAGGCCTAGCAGTGTCTGGTAGTTAATAAGCTGTTGAGTGAAGGAACAACCTGCCATTCCCAGACTGATAAAGACCCATCTCGTGGGTGTCATTTAGGGACTTCTAGTTTAAGATTATGGCATATTAATCATTATTACAAAAGAATTTTAAAGGATTAACATGATAATTCTCAGTATGGAAATTCTTAAGATTCTTGGTGGGCCATGCACAGAAGATGCTGTTCTGTTGTGGACACCTTTCTTGACGTGACAACACGCAGGTAGCGTAGGTGTTTCATGATATTAGAATATTTGTAGCTTCCCATCCTAATCCACTGTGGAAGTATAATACATGATTTCTTTGGGTTCTTTTTTGAACTGGTTTATGTTTTTCTGCCTTGCAGTCAACATTCATTTGGACAGTATACATTTATTGCCTGTTTGTAGTAGTATGGTCCTGGCACTTATATGTACTTCGGAAATATTTATTTAAAACATTTTATTTATTTATTTATTTTTAGAGCGAGGGAACGGGCGGGAGAGAGGGAGAGAAACATCCATTGATTGCCTTTCACACATGTCCTGACCAGGGATGGAACCTGCAACCTAGGCATGTGCCCTGACTGGGAATTGAACCTGCGAACTTTCGCTTTGCCAACTAACTGAGCCACACTAGTCAGGGCCTTTGGAAATATTTATTGAATCAATAAGTGAATGCCCTGAGTTTTGCAAAGACTAATCTGACATGATGTTACAGTGGACTATATACTTATGATATTATAGTATACTGTATTTACAACATCTTATATAATAGGCTATACTTGAGGGATAAAATATATAAGTACAAACTATGACATAAGGCTAGAAGAGACAGATGGAATGTGGTGGGATTCCAGGAGGAAGAGTAATTATTTCTAGTGGAAGTGGAGTGGGGAATTAGGGGTGTTAGCATCTATATAAAATGTAACTTTTCACCGGTGTTCTTATGTTTCTGTAGGCTTTACCCATTTCTTTTATACTATGTCAGTTTTATTGAATGCAGTTAAATTACCCTAAATGTCCTGTATTTGAAAAAAGCATTAAAAAAAAACAAAGCATTTTTTTTCCCCTGATACAGATTCAGAAACATACATTGCTTTTGGTTACTTTTGTGTTCTCCAGGGGAATCTTCCCAATGCTGCGTGGTGTAGAGTGTGATCTGTGGTTATCCGTCCATTTCTCATGCCCATGTATATTACTTTCACACTATCACCGTGATTCAGTCCTAGGCATTTTCTGCTCTGACGTCTGCTGCATGTTATTGTTTTCATTTTCCTTCCTTGCCTTTGGCCACCTCAGGCCATTTGAACAACCCCTATTTTGTCATATTTGTTACCAGCGTGATATAAATGGAGCGTCCACACCTAGCACTGTGGACACGTTTGGTAAGGATTGGGTTCATGTTTATATGTGACCTTTTTAAGACTGATGTTGTTGATGTCAGAGTGTTTGTTGATGTTTGTATTTCATTTCTTTGAGTCACAGGAACACTTTGGGGTTGGAGTGAGGGAGTTACTATTCTGTCTCCTTGTTGTGTTTCTCCCTGATGTGCTTCTGAACATGCCCAGTGGTTTAAACTTCATAAACAGTAGCCGTGAATGAGAGGAGGATTGTTGTATCACTTCGGTGTTTGGGTGGGAGGAGAGTCGGGGGCGAGTACTTTAGGGAACAGAACGGGGAATGTAGTTGCTAAGGGAGTGGATCTTAAAATTTCTCATTACAGGAAAAAAGTTGTAACATGAAGTGACAGCTGTTAACTTATAGTGGTAATCATATTGCAACATACACATCCATCATGTTATATACCTTAAATAAATATAACATTATATGTCATTTATATTGGGTTGGCTAAAATATCCCTTACTTTTTTTCCAGTGGATGGCTGTAGCAGCACTTAGTTGTGTTTAACTTCATTCGAAACAGTTTTCTTAGTTTCAATTGTGACAGCTGTCAGATCAGCGTGCATTAAAAAACGTGTATGTGCAGTGTACGGAGAAGGTGCTGTGACTGATCAAACGTGTCAAATGTGGTTTGCAGGGTTTCTTGGTAGTCTTGACATTTTGGCCAAATAATTCTTTGCTGTGGAGCTGGCTGTCTTACACATTGGAAGATGTTTAGCAGCACCCCTGGCCTCTACCCACTAGAAGCCAATAGTGAAAGACAGCTGACATACTCCACATATCCAAATCAATAAAGTTGTTGGTGAAAATGAAAAAGTGTAAGTGTGTTTTTATTTTATGGAAAAAATGTAACAGACATTTTGGCCAACCCAATATCTCAATAAAATTGGAAGAAAAAGAATGAGGTATGTATGTATATTTCTTGTTAGTGAATTGTTCTGTCATTCTTTAGCTGCTGCTTTGTCTATCTGTTCAATTTGTATTCTCTGTGTTATCCTTACTGCAGCATGGCACTGATGGTTCTTAATTTCTGGTGTAAAATTTGATTACCTCCTCTTACGCTTAACTTCTTTTCAAATTCTCTGTCAATACTGCAGCTTTCAGGGAACAAATCTCTATAAGGAATGACTGTTGTATTCATTCATTCATTCATTCATTCAAATCCTCCCCTGAGGATATGTTCATTGATTTGGTGGGGAGAGAGAAAGAAAGGGAGAGAGAGAGAGAGAGAGGAAGAAAGAAACAGAGAGACATTTATGTGAGATTGGTCGCCTCCCCTACGTGCCCCAGGTGGGGATCGAACTCCCAACCTATGTGCCCTGACCAGGAGTCAAACCCACAACCTTTTGGTGCATGAGACAATGCACCAATCAAGTGAGCCACCTGGCCAGTGTGGGAAAACACAGTTTAGACTCATGTTTATTAAGTCTGAGCTACATCTTCAGGAGTCATGGAACTGCCTATGCCAGTTTCCTTTCATGTTTCCTTGCACTCACCATTTTGTTACAGTAAATTACATGTTAGGGAGAGTCTATTGTCCTTTGAAAAGCTTGCTTCTTTTAGCTTTATTTGTCTTTTTATCACTGAGCAGTTGTTTTTCTTTTTTGAATAGTGCACATTAAAATTTCTCCCTTAATTCTTTTGTTTGGTTAGGTAAAAAAAATGTCATTTCTAGACTACATTATGCATTAACATAAGTTTTTTTCTTTTTTTACCAGATATAGATATATATATTTTAAAAATTATTTTATTGTAGTTCAATTACAGTTGTCTGTAACAAAAGTTTTTATGTACTTTAAAATGCTGTTCCTATTAGTTAGAGGAGCACTTAACAGTCATCTTTTAACACTGGATAAAAAAGTGCAGGCGAATACGAGTTTGACCTAAGGACAGGGTAGGTGTAGACGTGGAATATCCGGCTCTCATCACTGTTCCTAATCACAGTACCAGATGGTTAAATAATGACTCTATTATTCTGTAGTGTGGTCGTCCATCAGTGTAATTTAAAGATGAAGTGTAGTGTCATTGTAATGAAAGGATTACATTTGGCAGATGAGTATTTTTTAAAGTACCTTGAGACTCATAAATGAAATTCTTAACCGTTTAAAAAGTGTTTGAAACAGTATTTCAGGACAGTCAGACGTTTCAAAGGGTGTGCTCCGTGGCTTTGCAGGAGAGGTCCTCCGGTGGTGAGGTGGGGCTTTGGGAGAGACAGAGTGCTTGGGATTGAGGCTGTTGGGGTGCTGCTGACTGCAGTGTTTGGTTTGAAGTCTTGCTGTTGGCCCTTTAAGATGGAACTAACTGGGTGGACAGAGTCCCGGTTACCTGCCGATGTACAGTCTGGACAGTTTTATCCTCATGCGCGGACACAGCATTTTCCTGCTTTGCTATTGACCACCCCCCTCCAGCCCCACCCTCGTGTTCGGTGTGGAGTTGGAGTGGGAAGCCTTTCTGAACGGGAAATAAGCAAGGTGGCATTTGGGAGGTGCGGTTTTATTTTTGTGAGTTCTTGTCAGATTTTTAATTGGGAAATGTGTCTACCACTTACTGTTAGGTGATTTGCCTTCCAATTAAATGTTGACTCTTCTCTTTATCAGTTGGTCTTTAATGGCCGGCTTAATTGGGAAGACACACTTGGCTGTGACTGAGGAGACCTTACTGAAACTCGGAGCGGAGCTTTCCTGGACAGGCGCTGGTTACAGATGTCAGGGAGGCTGGAAGGCTCGCGTTTTCATCAACTTCCAGGTCTT